AAGTATTCAGCTATTCAAGGTAATCATTTCTCAGGCTTCCGATGCTCCATTTCAAATCAGTCCTCAAAAGTGGTGCACACCAGGAGAGATGTAGAAATGATGTATCATGCTGATGGTGCCCAAGGATAACCGAAAAACCATAAGGATGAGAATATGTTGGTAGGTGTGTACTTGCTCCAGAGTAACCAAAAGCTTCAATTTATAGTTTTGGAAACAAAGAAACAAAAAGTTTTAATATGCAGTCATGAGGTGCTTGAAGTGCTTACACTCCACAAAGCTGTATGGGAATACAAATAAAATATAAATATGAAGGAAGATCTGTGCCTATAAGTGATTGTTATTAAGGAAGTAGAGGCTTGAAAAAGATGGAAAAGGCATTTCGTTTAGTCCCACTGGAAATATTCTCATTTTCCCTGTATTCCTACCTCCTGGGCATCCAACTCACACTTCTTTCATTACAATAAACATATTTATTTAAAATTAATCATCCTTCAACTCCAGTAGCCTCTTGTGTTTTCACTTCCATGATTTATTTTCTTTCTTTGTGGGTGAGTAAATTATTATGGTCATAGCTACTACTGTGAAACAATTAACTTGAAATCAAAACATCAACATACAATGTGAATAGTGAATGTGCTATTACTGACATATCTGAGTCACCAATATAATACACTTTTAAATTGGAAAAGACATTAGAAAATGATGGAATTTAGTTTTTTGAAGATGGAAGTCTTCATTTTTGTCAATGTTCTTTTGTTTTTTAAGAGCAGAAATTGTAATTATTTGAGATAACTATAAGCCAAGAACAACACAACAAGAAATCTCAATAATGCAATACACAATATACCATAACCTGGAACTCTCTTGGACATGGTTTATTATCATAAATAGCAGGCATGCCTCATTACATCATGGTTTCACTCCCATCAGAATCCTTCTAGCATGGACCTCAAAAATGGAATAAAGAGAGTAAGCTACTGATATATTCTTTATTCTTTGTTTCTAACTTCTAATGTATTTTGCCAACATTATCACACTGGAAGAAAATGTTGGTGGATATTTCTAATCTTTTAATGATTGTTTCGTCATCATTTTCCCCTCCATTCTATTTCTTTCTCCCTGAGAGCAAACAGATCTAACTAGTGCATGTTTGGATGTGATCCCAGTGCTCAAAGTCTGCAGTGTAGGAAGAACTTTCTAGGATCTGGGAAGAGAAGTAGGACTCAAAGAGCAGAGCAGAGCAAAATGGCTTGTTCCTGGTAGAGGGAGCCCACTCTATATGGATGGTGACGTGAATTCAGAATAACTGGAGGACACCTCCCCACTGCCTACCTAAAGTAGGGGTAGAAGATTGACATTGACTAGAGGCTGCTGTGACAATAAGACTGGTGACTTAAACAATGTATGAGATTTTCTGGGCTCATTCTTGAAAACAGTAAATTATTCCTGTTTGGTCCCTAACTGATTAAATCCCCTCTGGTTTATCCCAAACCACTGAGCTTTATAGTAGTACATTTCAACTGCTAAGCAAATGTAGAGATGGTGCCTTTGCTGATAGGCGGTGAGCTGACAACATGACATTCACACCTCTTTATTCTCTTAAAACATGTTCTTCCTCCCCATCTCCTTCACACCTTCTACCTCCCACCATGATACATTTTTACTTTTCTGAGGAACTTCCCAATCTCTTCCATCCAACTTCACCTCTCACATTGCTGCCCCATTTATCTGGCCTGACCGGTTCAAGCTTGGGACTGATCTCTTCCTTTACTTCAGGGTCGGGGAATGACTCCTTCCTGCCTTTCCTTGGCTGCACAAGTCATACAGAGTCTCACATCTGAGTTCTGTGACTCGATTTTCAATTTTCATGGAGCTCCTATACTGTGGGATAGAGTTAGAGCTCCTAGACTTTGACCCCTTGAGGTCAATGGATAAGGATGACTATTGTGACATGGTGCCCAAGGTTAGGCTTAGGTAAAAGAGGGGGCCTCTGGCCTTTGTGTCACACTGTAGTACAGGACCAACAAAGTCATTGCTTCTAAGAGATCTCAAGTAAATTCTCTTGAGCTAGAAACTCTTTTTCACATACTATTTCTTAGATATGGGTCTATTTCAATCCTGTTTCTATCTTTCTCCTACACACACACACAGGCACACCCACCTTAGTTGTCACCTCCCATTCTACTTCCAACCAGATAATCATTTTTTTTTTAGGTTTTCATTCAATGTTTACTAATTATTGAAATTCCCCTTCCTCTACTTTTTCCATCTTTAGGGTAAATGCAGATCCACTGTCTCTCATCTGAAAACTTTGGGGCCAGCTATGTTAAGGATTCAGACTTTTTCAGGCTTTTGAAGGATACTATGGTGCACATACTGTGAATTAGATAACATCCAACAGGATTTGTAACTACATATTTATTCACACTAAGTAGGATAAATCAAAAGTAAATAGCCTCAGATCATTTGAAATTGGGTTTTCTATCAAATGAATTTGCTACAAACTGATGAAAAGAAAAACATTTTTTGTCTTGAGAGCTTTTCATTTTTTGAAAGTTAGGATTAAGGACGGTTGATCTGTATTATGTTGTACAAATTCTAGAAATAATTAACAGAGGAATGGAATATTTTAGGAGAATTTGGCTTTTTGTTGTTTTCTAATTTTGGAGGGAGTACACAGATAAGTTAGTGTACAAAGAAAGATGGAGTCACTCAAGTAAGCAGTTGAGAACAAGCCAGAAAAATGAAGCAAAATGAGGGTAGGGGAGGCTACAGTGGGGCTGGAGAAGAAAGAAAGCCCAAATCAGAGGGAACAAGATAAAGCAAAAAACACTGGCTGACTAGAAATGGAACATATTAACGAGTAGGTGGTAGAACTTGAAGAAAAAATATATCTTTATAACTTCGAGGGTACAGTCAAGAAATTTTCTTAACATTATTTTCAAAAGCACATTATAAGCCCATGAATATAAATCCGGGTAAAAGAAAACTATGCCTGGTCATCCCTATTAATCATCCTGGTTTTTAATCTTTCAGTATTCCATTAGGCACCATTTTCAAGGAGAAGCACTTAGGCTTCTTCCTCTTTGGGAGGTTGGGAGGCCAAGAAGCCTGTTAGAAGTCAGAGGTTAAGGAGCTTGGAGTGCTCCAGGCATTCTTTATTAATGGAAACAAATGTGATTGAAGGGTAGGGGAAAGTTACCAGTTTTCTAATTTCCAAATATATGGAAACCATGAGTTTTTATTTCATATTGGACTGGTTTATTCTCAAGTCATTTGACACTGATTGTTTCTTTTTTGTTTTGTTTTGTTTTTATCCTCACCCGAGGACATTTTTCCATTTTTTTGTTCAGATAGAGCGGGAGGGAGAGAGAGGAAGAGAGAGAGAGAGAGAGAAACATCGATGTGAAGGGACACATTGAGTGGCTGCCACCCGCACAACCAACCAGGGCCGGGAACAAACTGCAACCAAGGTACGTGCCCTTAGCGGGAACCAAACCCGGGTCTTTCTGTACCGCAGGGCAACGCTCCAACCGCTGCGCCAAACTGGCCAGGGCCACTGATTGTTTCTTATGTTCAAAATGTTGCTTGGGTCAAAATGTGGTCATTCCCATGGGAAGATGTGGTTAGAAGAAAATAAATGGTTATTAACAAAAACTATGAAATTTTGTAGTGTAAAGAACTGTGTTTCATTAAAAGAAGAAGGCATTTCCCCCCTTTTTCAGATTTTAACCACTATTTTGGGTTTGCCACCAAATTTTCTAAATGGTGAAAGATCTGGGAACACCCTCACCCGCAATGATCTACTATTCAATAAATTGTTATGGGAAAAATGGAAAGTAGTCCAAGAGATACGGAAGACAGATGACCCACCAATCACAAGCTGACCTAGTTAATTACAGAATTGCACATTCAGTTTCAAGGGGTGTTTATTCCTCAGGCATAGATAAAAAAAATACAGTGTCTCCTTAAGAACAGGGGCAAGGTCATATTTGGCTGGATCCTTAGCCCAGAGCTTACAGTAGGTGCTCAATACACATGTGTAGATTGATTTCTTAAAGATATGCCACCGTCCCTACGCCAGCCCCTGGGCTATGTCTTGCGGGGTACAAATATAGGTTTATGCCCAGGGAGGGATTTGGATCCAACTCTGTCTAGTGCAAAGTCCAAAGAATAACGGTTTTAGTCAACACCCAAAGAACAAAGCAGCAGGGAAGCAAGTCAGATTTTGCAGCTTTCCATCCTATTTGAGCGCCTGCATTCCCTGAGCAATCGCCCTTCACAGGGGGCGTGAAAGGTGGCAAGTCCAGAGAATAGAAATGACAGCAGTTTTAGAGGGAAAGTTAGGAAATAGGGAAAACTGGGGTATTCCTGGGTCCTAGACTGGGTCCGTCCTGGATTTGAAAACAGAGGACGAAATACCTGTTGTCATGTTTCTCCTCCTTCCTTCAAGTCTCCCAGGATAAGAAACTGACGGGGCGGAAGGGGGTGGGTGGTGTTACAAGAAAGAACCTCTCCTTGGTCCCATGGCTACAGCCCAGGAAACCTAGAAATCCACAGCTGGCGCCTTTTAGAAGAGCACTGACCCCAGCTTGCTAAGAAAAGGAAAACCACGTGACGGCGGGGGATGGAGGCGGGAAGCGAGGCGACCCCAGAGCCGGCTCGGCCAGGGGCGGGGCCCGGGGCGGGGCCGCTGCGAGGAATTGCCCCGCGCAGCCGGTGGGGGCGGGGGGCTGGTACCGGCTCCGCGCGCGCGGGGCACCGGAGAAGAAGACTCGCTCTGCGCGCGCTACGCTCGAGGGGCAGAGAGTAGGGACCCGCTCCGCGGGCACCGGACAGGGGAGGGGCGGGCGCAAGCTTCTGGCACCCGGAGTCCAGAGTCGGAGCCTGACACCGCCTGGGTGCGGACCGACGCCCCGCCCCACTCGGCACCGCCTCCCGCAGCCTGGGGAGGGGCCGGGGCGGAGCGAGCCGGACTGCGCTGGGGCGGAGCGGGCGCGGGCAGATCGCGGCGCGGGATCGGTGGCGAAGGTCCGCGGCGGGATCGGCGTCGCTGCGGCTGCTGACGACCTCTGCCCGGCCGGCCACCTCCGCAGACCAGTTTCGCGGCGGCAGGAGGCGCGGAGCCCCGAGGGAGCGAGTCCCCGCGCACGGCGGCTCCGCTGCTTCCCTTCGAGGGAGGTCGGGCACCCAGCTCTCCGGACCCGTCCGGAGTCTTCGCCTCCCGCGGGCCGGCCGACTGCGGCGCCCGGGGCATGGCTTCGGCGGGCAGCGGCATGGAGGAGGTGCGCGTGTCGGTGCTAACCCCGCTGAAGCTGGTCGGGCTGGTGTGCATCTTCCTGGCGCTGTGTCTGGACCTGGGGGCCGTGCTGAGCCCGGCCTGGGTCACGGCCGACCACCAGTACTACCTGTCCCTGTGGGAGTCCTGCCGGAAACCCGCCAGCTTGGACAGCTGGCACTGCGAGTCCACGCTCAGCAGCGGTGAGGGCCTGGCGTGCCGCGACCCCTCCCTCCCGCCCCAGACAGCCCCGTGCCCCACTGCCAGGACCGCCACCGCCTTTCCCCCGCACCTTCCGTGTCCCCTACCTTGTCCGCTCCATCCCGACCCTTCGCGGGTGCTCAGGCTCCAGCCGCTTTTCTGCTGTCCACTCCTCCCCACTCCCCGGTCCTAGTCGCCAAACCAACCCAATGCGACGTCCCGTGCCCTCTTCTCTCCTCCTGTGGCCATTCCTCGGGCTCTGGAGCAACACGTATGGTCTTTGGGGTTATTGTTATCATTTAAGGCGAGAACCATGTGGCAGTGTTAAAAATGCAAGGGCTTCCTCACCCCCTTTAAAAAAGAGAGAGCAAAAACGCCCCAACTCTATCGGGATGGCGTGGGTTCTCTCGGTCTTCCGCGCTCTTCTCCCTCTTTTATCCGCGGGAATCCGCCCGAGTTTACCTCTTAGTGCCCGCGTTCCTGCCCCTTCTACTCCACTTTACCTGGCTTTTCCCCAGTGAGTTTAGGTTCGGACTTTATTTACTGACAATTTTGAGGGATGTGGAGAGTTGGGAGAGGGACAGGCTTAATTTTCCTTCCTTTTTTGGTGACACTGCCCTTGGTTGTGAGTTGCCCTTCTCTCCCAGTCCAAGTACCTCTTCTCTCCTCCAGACCTTGCTTTCTTTTCTCTTCATGAACTACTCACAGAATCCTGGAACTTCGTACCTTATTCAGCCAGCACTGAAAGCTGGAAATGGATAGGATGCAGGGTGGAGAAGAAGGTAGTCACTGGGTCTGTCAACCCCATGGGGACTTTGCTGATTTACTCTCTCCTTGACCCCCTAGTTGCCTTCCCCTGCTCCCCAGTTATGCCTTTAGCAGAAATCTGCCAACTTAGATTTCTTGCTGCAAACCCTTTTCCTTGCTAATCTTGACTCTTTAGCCAGTGTACAGAGAAGAGGGAATAAAGAAAGAGGACCTGCCCGTGATTTTATGCACTTACACAAACCCCTAAGAAACTCATTAAATTCCTTCATGCCAGTTTCATGTCTTTGGGACTATTTATAAAGCTTTACTAGAAACGTTTCCAGTTCCAAGAAAGTTGAAATAGCACAACATCCACAAGAATCTGATTGACTTTTGTCTTTGGTTTCTTGTTATAAGAAAGATTAGTTCACTTGGTTAAGTTTCTTCCATAAATTTGATTTTCTGTTTACAAAAGGCTTTTTCTTTGATATTTCCTCAAAATTTCCATTGAAGGGTTTTGGCTTTGTTGCTTAATTCACTGTGGAGGGGACTGGTTGGCAGCAGGAGGTCAACATTTAGGCCTTTTAATTCTTTCAGGGTTGGTTGTTTACAACTAAAGATGAAATAAATCGGTAAAATGCCTTTCTTCCGTAACCAGGGGATCCAAATAAACTTTGGGGAAAATATCTTTTCTTTGCTCTCTTCCATAGAAATGGAAATTTATGTAGGAATGCCAGCTTCAGCATGTCTCCTTAGCAACGTGAATCTTTTGCCCCTTTCCCACTGTTTCCTGAAATAATAGCCCCTGATTGCATAAAGACTTTTCAGCTAGGTTAGAGAAACCAGCTTCAACTCCCATTTTCTTTTCAGGCCAGGATCCTTTTCTCTTGGCCAGGAATGTGGGGTATGGGGAGAAGCCAGCTTGGTTGAGCGGTATGCAGTGCTGGCTAATCTCTCCTTAATTGCCTCCATACCCATTTATCCTGGTGTTTTTTCCCCTCTCTAGGCCAGGAAGTAGGGAGACAGGAGCTTAATGCAAAAGTAGTAATAACTGGACTGAACAAGGTAAAAATCAGAGTTAGGTAGTTTTCTTAGGTTTTCCCTCAACGCATTATTTTGCCCTCTTGCTGAAACTCATACCCCAGCATTGACTTCTATTTGGGTTCCTGAAAATTAGCCTCAGTTTCATTTGGCTTTCAAAATAGTTTTCATCCTAGAAAAAGTATACTTTGCACGGAATGGGGGTGGAGTGGGAAGTCGAGATGTTGTGAGGCTATCTGGACAAGTTAGCTTTCTTTATGTAGTAGCAGTTCATCTTTGCCTCCCCAAGGTGGTGTGTGTGGGGCGGGGAACGGGGGGATCAATATGGAAAATTGCTCAAGCTCCCCACTTTACAAAAGCAGTTTTCTTCCAACATTCTGTGGACTTGAAGCCTCTATCCACCAGTGTCTTGAAAAGAAGGGGGAAGCTTGAATTGAAAACGAGCCGTGCTTTTCTTGCGTGTTCCAAAGGGCCAGCAGTTTTTCTCAGCCCGTTTGCTGTGTGGAGTGGCAGAAAGCAGGGAGAGACATGTCTTCTGAAGATTTTAAGAGATCCACTTCATTGTCTCTTGAAATGAATTACCTTGGGAAGAACCAGCAAGGACAGTTTTATCGAAGGCCCTTCAGCAGGATCTTCAGGGCTTAATTAAAAACCTTTGTCTTAATTAGAATTAAAACTGCTGTGAAGAGGCCAGCTTGTGTTTACAGAAGGGAAATTTCAGGAATGTTTCTACTGACGACAGTCTGTCCTACTTAGGCCCAATTCCTACAGAAACTTTCCCCTCGGCCATTATTTTTAAAGCTGCGTTTTAATTGTGGTACCAAATATGCATCGTTTGCTGCTTATAACCGGCTTGTTGGTTCTAAGTCAAAGCAGAACCATGCCTTTTGTGTCCTGGTGTATTGAAGGTTGCGTCAGCACTTCTAGTAGGAACCAGTAATCCTGGTGTCAATCAGCCCTAACGCTTTTCTCTGGTGTCCCAGTTCAGTGAATAGAGAACACTCTAGGCATTTATCTTAAGATTTAAGTTTTCCAAAAATGACAAATGAGAAAATGGCTAATTGACTGTCATTTGCAGTGGAAATAAACAAAGGAATAATAAGAGTATGCTCATTAGGAAGTTTCAAATCTGTAGTACTCACATGGCTGCTGGCCATAGAATTTCTTTCTAAGGATGTTTTTTTCCCCACTACTGATGCTGGTTTTTAATAAATCCTTTTAATTCATGTTTAGTCTTATTTTTTTTAATGATAGTAATGTTTTAGACTTTTGCTTAGTCACATTTAGTTTTGATAACTTTTTAAAAGAATATAGTTAGGGTTTCACAGCCATAGATAACAATTACAGAAGAATCCTATGTGCAAATAGGATTACTCTAGTGTATACAGTGCTGCTGCCCTGAACTTGACATCAAACGCGCAGTATAACCTCTAGGGTGATTTTACGTTTCTTTAACATTCATAAATATGTAGCTATTTCATACAAAGCAGATTTTTTTGATGTTTGTGTGATTTATTGACTAAGCAAAAAGCAAGGACCTGCAGGTGGCCAAATGAACACATTTTACTGAGCGTAATTTGGGGATATAACAAATACATTTATCCATTTTTTTTCATCCACAAAATACTTGATCAAATCGTTAGTGGCTTTTCAAGGAATATTGTTAACATCATTCCTGCACTGTCCTAAAAATAGCTGCATTTGTAACATGAGTCACTGGCAGTTTTGAAATGGCAGTGCACCCTATTCTAATAACAGGTGAATATTATTATTTTCAGTTGACAAGAGGTTTTTTCAAAGAGTGCTTTATATGTAGCTCATTTTTTTAAATGGTAATATAAAAATCCACTTTAAAAGGCATTGTAAGAAATTGTCTTAGTTGGTAGTTTAAGATAAACCAAATAAAACACCTGCAAATCTTAGAAAATCTGATATACAGTGATTCTGAGTTCAGAGAGGTATCATCTGTGCATGTTTTAAATCCGTACCTTGATTGGAAAACAGCATTTCATTGGGAAAGCTCACAATGAAGTTGACTCCAAGGAAGGTTCAGCTTGTTGCTTAAAATGAGTTGATATTGATGCATGTTTACAAACAGCTCAGCAAGCCTGGAGGTCACAACAGTTATATACCTTCTTTGGCTTCATTTTCCTGCAAAAGAACATAAGTAGAACAAATGCTGGGTTTTTTTTTCCACTTCCACAGTTCAAATGAGTGAAAACATACAAAGAGCAACACTTAGCACCAAAACTTTCTCAAGTAAAAACCATACACAACTAAGTATAACTTATTTCAAGATCTTCATGATGATTTTCTTTTAGCATCTCCTAAGATGTTGGGCATGTTGGTGATGGAGGGATTGAGAAAAAAAGGAAAAAAAGAGAACTCATGGACATGTACAACAGTGTGGTGACTGGGGGAGTGGGTGGAAATTAAAGGCATAGAGGGGATAAATGGTGATGGAAAAAATAAAGTAAAATATTTTTAAACTATTCTCTTTTTTTTTAAATATATTTTTAGAGAGAGGAAGGGAGAAGGAGATAGAAACATCAGTCGGCTACCTCCTACATGCCCCTACTGAGGATCGAGCCCCCAGCCTGGGCATGTGCCCTGACCGGAATCAGACCAGTGACCTCTTGGTGCCTGGGACAACGCTCAACCATAATTTTTTTTTATCCTCACCCGAGGACATTTTTCCATTTTTTGTTCAGATAGAATGGGAGGGAGAGAGAGAGCAGAGAAACATCGACGTGAAAGGGACACATGGAGTGGCTGCCACCCGCACGACCAACTAGGGCTGGGGTCAAACTACAACCGAAGTACATGCCCTTAGCGGGAACCGAACCCGGATCTCTCTGGACTGCAGGCCATCACTCTAACTGCTGAGCCAAACTGGCCAGGGCTCAACCATATTTTTCTATATATCTTCAGATAGAGTGGGAGGGAGAGAGAGAGAAACATCTATGCAAGAGAGACACATCGACTGGTTGCTTCCTACATGACCCCAACCAGGGCCAGGGTCCGAATAGCAACCAAGGTACTTGCCCTTGACAGGAATTGAACGTGAGACTCTGGTCCTTGGGCCGAAGCTCCTCCCACCGCGCCCAACCGGCCAGGACACAAAGGATATTTTAATTTGTAAGCAGATATAATTCCTCTTTTGCTAACATTTATGGAATGATTATAATCTCCAGGGAACCATTTAGATCAGTCT